CAGCTCCTATGGCCCCATCAGGGGATGGCCAGCTGTCTTTTCTGACACTGACTTCTCTAATGGCCTTGTGGTTGTGCCAGTAAAAAGATCCATTACTGCTCCAACCAAGATAGCTGCGTTTTCTATCACCAGCCAGCTGCCCCGGGCGAGGAGCTGCTGCCCCAAAGGCTGGATTAGACAACAGAGCATTGAGGGGGAGGGGAAACCCTCAGCATCACACAGTTACTCCACTCTGTCCTAGACTCTGCAAATCTCTCAGTGACATTAGAAGGAAACCTTAGCCATACAGCAGAGACAGAGGGATTCTAAACAAAGAGCAAGGGTAACTTGCTTCAAACCCGACATGAACAGAAAAGGCTTCGTTCATAGTATCTGGTGAGGTCGAGCATCCTGCTGTGTGACCCAGGGTTCCGACTCCCAGGTAGACAGGCGCCCAGAAGACACCCCTGTCCTGCACACTCACAGGCTTTACAAGAATGTTCAGGAAGCACCATCCACCAGAGCAAACCCAAGTGTCCGTCAGAGGGGGGAAGCCGCGCGATGGTGCCACAAACACTACATGTTGACACAATACGGGTGAATCTTGGCATAGTGACATCAAGTGTAGAAGGCATGGCCGAAAGACATGCAAAACACCATGTCTCTCTTTATAAAGACTTGAGAAACAATACAAATTATACCTTTAGAAACATATGTGTCTACCACAAAGCCCGACACAGGGCGCTGCCCCAGGGTCGGGGACGGTGGTGACCTCTCAGGGGAGGGCAGTGATGGGGCAGGGTCGCATGGCTGGAAGTCACTGCATCCACAGACTTTATAAAGAACAAATAACAAAGGGGCCACTCCCGACCCAGGGCGGCCTGAGCCAGGGTCAGGACCAGGACGCTTCTGTGCACCAAGACGGCGAAGGTGGAGGAAACTCCATGATGGGGACCAGCGAGGGGGAGGCGTAGGGGCTGCAGCGGCCTCACAGGCCAGCAGACAACCAATTCTGAAAAGCAAACACAGTGTCTCCCCCGTGGCCCCACGCAGTGGGACGTCGCACAGCCCGCCACCTGCCATCCAGACAAGCACGTGCAGACCTCAGCTCTGAAAGCCTCACTTTCACGGGAGCCGCTGCCGAGGCTGACGAAGTGGCCCTGCCAGGGCTGGCTGCCTGGGGGGAGCTTTGCCGGGCGCTCAGCAGGGCCCTGTCAGTGCCTGGCATCTGGGGGCTCCCTCATCTCAGCACACTCCCCCACCCCTACTCCCAAGATGACAGGCAGTGCCTGGGGACAGCTCTCCCCTGAGCTCAGCCTGCCCCGGACGAATGGCCTCAAAGAGCAAGCTGTCCATGCGCAGGTGAAGCGCCTATGAGGAAACACATTTAGTTCTTTTTTAAAAAACAATATATACAATTAAGACAGAGGTCCTGTTGAGTTATGTTGGAGAACATGAAGGCACTTTTAGGTTCCTCTTCCCTGCATGCACGATGCTCACTAACTGTGGACATGGTCTGAACAACAGCAGCTTATCCCTGGATTTCAAATGACACCACAGACATCCTCTCTGGGCCGCCTGCAGGAACAACTGCCACCGGGCTTGGAGGAGGGGGCTGCTCATTGACATTCAGGGCCCGCTCTGCCAGGAGCTGTAAATCTGGGTCTGCTGACAGTTTATCTCCCACATCTCCAGCTTCCAGCCCCCCGAGCTGGGGGGATGCGCCCCTGTGGACCCAGCCTACTCCCAGATGCAATGGGGACCAGGCATGCCAGCTAGCCACAGGGTTGCTCCCTGCCTCCCAGTGTGTGGTGACATGGGGTTGTGGTGTCGGGCACTGACCATAGAGTGGGACATGATCCAGCCAAGCAGAAGGGATTTAGATCAAAAAGAGGAGGGGACAAGGGAGGAACAATCACATGCTTCCACCGAAACTGTGCACCAAATGCCAAGAGCTGGGGTTGGCTCAAGGGGAGGCTGGGGAGTGGTGGCCACCGGACAGAAGCCACCCAGCCGCCATGGGGCCTCTCCTGGGACTCTGGGCATCGTGTTTCCATACAGGCGTGTGACCCTGTGATGTGTGGTATCCACTGCTCCCCCCATGGGTGACCTTTGAGGCCAGGCAGTGACTGTGGACTGTCCTTTCCAGGCACCGGTGCTCGGCACTTAACTGATCAGAATGCACTAGTTTTCCTGAGAGGCACCCTGAGCACATGTGTTTGGGTTTGAGCGCCCTCGTGTGGCCCTCGGGGTGTCTCAGGGACCCAGGCGAGACCAGGCAGGTCTCGCTCGTTCCATCATAAGCCTCTAGAGGGACCTTGTTAGCCTGAGGCTGTGCTGTGCACCCTGGGGGACCAGACACTGCCTGTGCCTGGGGTCTCCTTTCAGCCTAATTGTCTGCCTCTCTAGGGAACGTAATGCAGAAGTGCTGCAGGAGACATGAAGAAAACCTCACCGACCCTTTCTGGATAAACAGGTGGCAGTCTTAGATATTCCTCCCTCCAAGGTCTGGCCTCTGCCTCTGCTTCTGCTCGGCTCTCACCCCTTTTCTATGATGACAACAGTGCCTGCTGTTTGCTCACAGGAGGTGCTGTGATGGTCACTGTTGCCGCCCTACAGACTCGGAAACCAGAATTGGCTCACCCTGCACCAGAGCCTTACCTCACCCACCTCACTCCCTGTCCTGACCCTCCTCCCTCCCCAGGGATCCATGTTTGCACTGCCTCCTGGCTCTGGGGCAGGGAGAAGGGGTGACATGGGCCAGGTGGCTGTGATGCTCGGCCAATCACATGAGTGCATCTGGGGTCGCACAGGATGCCCCACCAAGCTGGGAGTTGGGGTTAGAGAGGAGGATGGCTCCATAAGATAATGTAGGCGGCTTTCTCTTTTCTAAGTTTCCGAGGGCAGCAGGATGGGGTGGGCAGGGCAAGCTAAGACCCAGTGGGGGCTGGAGCAGGAATGGCAAAGGCCTTTCAAAAGCTCTTCACTGCAGAGCGGAAATGAGGCCACACTTGGAGCTCAGGACAGTTCCTGGCACATTCACACGGGTCTTGGGGAGGCCTTGGCTGGCCTGGGGCGTGTCCTGGGTCTAGGCTGAGGAGGAGACAGTTGAGGAGCCCCACATAGAAGCCCTTTAGGGATCAGACCTGGTCCAGGGGTGGTGATGGGGAGGGAGCTCCCCTACCTGGCCCCACCCATCCATATAGATACAGAAGAGTGTCCTAGCAAAGTGACCCACATTTAAAAGGAGCCACACTGGACTGGGCAGAATCAGATGAGGCAGAATCCTGCAGGTCAGAGGGAGGTCAGGGCCCCGTGAGGGCCCCAAGCAGTTGGGAGGGAAGTGCCGTCCCCATGGACCAGTGGCCTGCCTTACCTGCTCGCCACCTCAGTGTCCAGCTCCCTCGTCACATTCCCAGGTGCACTGCCGTCCCCTTGCTGGGGCACCAGCCCTTGAGTGTGAAGGGCAGAGTTCTGGACAGGGCAGCTTCAACCACACTCTGCTCCCTGCAGCCTGTGGGTCTTGAGCGGGTGGTGACGGGCACCCAGGCCTCCGTGGGGTCTGTGCTGTGCTGTTGGAGGTGGCCACCAGGATCTCTGAGGTGAGACCTCTGTCCATCTTGTCCACCTCCCGTCAACATGCTCAGTCCCACCAGGCTCCCGGCCAAGGCTCACAGCAGGACCTCAGCCTTCACGTTCTGGGCGGGGTCGAGGCCACGGTGATGGCATGGAATGGCCCAGCAGCCACAGTCCCATCTGTGCTCATGAGATGACAGCATCATAAACATGGGAGGGCATTGTGTGTATCCATCAGTAAGTGCTTGAGACCCCAGTGAGCGTCACTGTAGCCCACCTGTGGTGGCATAGGGAGATCATCCTCGGGTCATCCCGGGCAACTGTTCTGGTTTCCCGGGACACAGGTCACTGTTGTGGCCACAGCCTTCATTCTGTCGTTGTGTGGGGCACCTGCGTTTTTCTGAGAATCCACTTCATAGATCATGTAACAGCTACTACAGGAACCGGGAGGGGTGGGTGTGCAGGCTTGGGGACACACCCTAACCTCGCAGCAGGGGAGCATCCCTGGAACTGGGGTTGAGAGGCTGCATCCCAAGGAGGGACCCCAGGGTCCAGCAGCGAAGACCAGGCCTCTTCCAGAGGAGCCCAGTCAGGAAATGAGTTCTAACTCTGGCTCATCAGGGTGAACAGCCGCCCGCTCAGAGCAACTCGAGCCCCCCTCTCTGCCTCTTCCTTGACGGGAGGGGGTCCACACAGACAAGGTCCTCCTGGGTCTGCAGGGATGACACAGGCAGTCTCATTTTGCCACCCAGACACCCGCTGCTGTCTAGTCCAGCCGGAAGAACAGGGTCTGGCTCCTCTGGGGGCTGGAAGAACAGAGACATGGACACGTAAAGGAGGCAGCTCAGTGACAGGAAGGGGCTGCAGGGGTGAGGCCTTGGGAAAGGGCGACCACACTTCCAGGGAAGGGTCCTCTCTGGGCACCCTGTGAAGGGTGGGACCTGGGACAGAGACCGACTAGTCCTCTCATCTTGTTTCAGGAGAGGCAGTGGCCAGCTCCCACATGTGGCCGTGGTCTGAAAACTGTGGGGATGGCACCACAGCTCAGCATGATTAATGCTGTGAATGGGCCAGCAGTCAGGGAAGCTGACTTCTCTGGCTGGATCTCCAGTGTGACCCAAGCTTGTACCCGATACCAAGGGGAAGGACAAACAACGGGACAACTGTGCTCTGTCAACACTGATGCCCCAGACACAGAAAAACACGGAGCTGCAAGGCATTTGGGGCACGTTCATCCCTCCACTGCAGTGGTCCCATGAGAAGGGTCCTTGCCCTCCTTCCTTGTCAAGAAAGGCGAGTGCCCTGTGCCCTCCGACGATGGCAGGCCCCTCTGCATCCTGGCCCCAGTGCGGGGGACTGAGGGTCCTGGGCTGCCCCGCAGCTCCCGGGCAGGCAGGGGGCAGAGTGGGCCCTTGCCCGAAAACTCCAGCTGATGACCTACTCACCATGTAAAAGTGCCCAGGCGAGCTATGACCACAGAATGAAAGCTAAGGAGAAAAATAAGAACAAAAATAGAAACTGAAAAGGGAGGGGAAGGTGGAGACATGGAGAGAAGAAAGAAAAAAGAGAGTTTGTAGCACATCTGGCAAGAAATACTGTGCAGTCACAGACAGAACAAGACGGGGGGGTGGGGGGAGTGGCCGGGTAAGGAGCAACCCTGGTGTGCTGGTGTCCAGGGTTTAAGGCTGATGCCTGAGGGGCTGTGGGGACGGCCTGGGACTGAGTGACGGTGCTGCCACCACACAGAGATATGCCCTGGAGGACCTTGCACAGGCCAGAGGCAGGGCTGTGGGTGACAGTTGGGAGGCGTGTCTGGTGCATCCCCAGCACAAGCAGGCCTCTGCTGGTCACCTCGCTTCTCAGGGACTCAGTTTCCTCCTCTGTGGGGTGGGACCAGCCAGGTGGACCTGTCACCAGGGCTGACAGTGACAGTGTCATTGGCTGATAATACTGACGAAGTCTGTGGAGGCAGGGCATGTACAGCACTCCTGACAATATTTGGTCTCAGCCCCATTACAAGTGATAAAGTACAAGCAAGCCCTGAAATGTGCGTTTATTTTACCTTTTCCTCCAGTTCCTTTATTTGCCTCTTCTGAGCCTCTATTCTTTCTTCTAACTCTTTAATTCTCTGCAATGGTAAAAGGAGGAGAGTCTTCAATAGTCAGAGCATCTGGGAAACCACGTGGGAAAAAGGCTTTCAAGGTTTCACTCAGGGACTTGGTGCACAAACGTCACAGAGCAGCTGCCCTGCTGGACGTGGGCCCCACGGTCATGCTAACAAGGCCCTGTCTTCAAACCTCTGTGCTGTGAGGGGCTGCTCTCCAGCCCACGAGCTGCTGCTCCCCAGATGGCACCTTCACCACCCCCTTAGCCCGCAGTCAGGGATCCCAGGAGAGGGAATGTGCACCCAGAGACCTGGACAGTGTGGCCCAGGAGGCTAGTCTGAAGGGGAAGGGTGATCTGGCAGGAGGCTCCTCAAGGATGTGGCCATGGGAGGGTATGGTCATTGAGGTGTGGCTACTAGAGGGCATGTTCATGGCACCATCTCCCCCAACCCCTGCCCGCACCTGTTGTGCCAGCTGCAGGAGCTCCATGCGCTCCCGCAGGATCTGGGCGTCCCGCTCACGCAGCTCGCTCATGACCTGGCGCTTCCACTGCTCCACCGCCACCTTGAGCTTCTCCCGCTCCTCCTCCGACAGCAGCTCAGCCACCTTAGCCCCTGCCTCCTGCTGCAGGGCGTCGAACAGCATGGCCTCCAACTCCAGGATGTGCTGGGTGGGAGGGGAGAGGTTAGTCTTGCCCGGTGGGGGCAGGTACCCCGTCCCTCGGTGTTACAGTTCCTGCCACTGCAAAGGGCACTCTTTCCTCCTGGACTGGCTATAATGATGCTCTAGAGTGTGGCCACCAGGGCCCAGGAGCACAGCCCTCTACATGATTTATAATGTCAGGAAAATGCGATTGGCAGATACATGAGCCCANAGCCCTCTACATGATTTGTAATGTCAGGAAAATGCGATTGGCAGATACATGAGCCCAGAGTGGGGTGACAGTCCAGGGGGGCAGGCGGGTGGGCAGGCGTCCCCAAGGAAAAAACAGTGGAGGGAAGGCTTCTTCCTGGGCTCACAAACTTCGCCAGACCTGGGCTTCTGAGTCCCAAGGAAGGAGGAAGGGCAGTGCCCCAACCCCAGGGGCTCAGCAGCGAATTTCTCCTACCTTGTGAGCCTGGTCCAAGGCCTGCTTCCTGTAGTCCAGCTCCTCATCCAGGTAGCCCTTCTGCTTACTGAACAGCTCCTGAAACACAAGAGGACCTGGGTCTCGTTCTTGGGGATCCGACCTGGTGATGCCACAGTGAAGGCCACATAGCGAGACGCCCACCAACCTTCTCACTCTCCAGGTCGACCATCTTCCGCTGCAGGGCTGACTCTGTCTCTTCGATCTGCTGGAGCCACTGGACACAAACAGAGTAGGTGACTGTGACCCGCTGGTGGCCATCTCCACCCCACCCCCACTCCATGGAAACACCCTGGGGAAGGAGGGAAGCAGGCCTGGCAGGGATAGCTCTGCCCTTGCCAGGAGTCGGGGCTGGGCTGGCACTGTGATCTCCCTGATCTCCATGTGCCCAGGGTGCAGGACAGGCCTCCCCAGCCTGCCTGGTCTCCAGGGAGTCTGTTCCTTAGCCCTTCCCCAGGGACAGAAGGGATGTTAGCTGAGGGCAGCAGGAGCACATGTCCCTGCGAGTTCTGCAGGAGATGTGGGAGGGGGGCCTGTTCTCCCCAGTCCCGGCCCCTGAACCCTTATTCTCTGGAACATTCCTTCCCCTTCCTGTTGGAGGCCTGAAGGGGGACGTGCTGATAGCCAGCCTACGGTGTACCGGGCAGGTTGGGGCTGTGTGTGGGACCAGGAGCAGGCTGGTGGCCTTAGGAGCAGGGAAGCTGGGTATTGGGAGCTCGGGTCAGCTGGGCGGTCCCCACAGGAGGGTCTTGGCAAGTCGAATAGAATGCTGATGGTTTTACAGACCCACCACATCTCCAGCCTTCGGGGGGAAACCGAGGCAGAGCTGGCACTGTGGCAAGGTCTAGCGGAATCTGTCATTTGTAAACATGCATGGTGGGTGCATTTTGACCTATGCATGTGCCAGACTTTCCAAGGCAACAGAATTAGCACCCACCCCTCCACTTCCTCCTCCCAGAAAGAGCATTTTCTCTGAGCTGAGCACAAAGCCTGGCCCCTCCCAGGAGCATCCACACAACCACATTACCTTTTCCGCCAAGGTCAGGACTGTCCTGGCTTGTATGACAACCACTTGTTCTTCATTGGTCAGATTCTGTGTCAAAGCAGAATACACATATAGTCAGGGGCAGGGCCATCCTGGGCAGCTGGGATGAGTGATGGGTGCATGGTGGGGCAGAATGATGGCTGCACAGTGGGCCTGAATGGTGGGTGTTTAGTGGGGCTGATTGACCAGACGTAGGGAGGGGAGCTAGGGCCACAGCTAAGGACGCTTTTACTAAACGCCCTCCCAGGAATCTCTGACATCCTCTACTCTTGGCCCTGTTCACTCTGGGTGCGCTCTCCTTTCTCTCCTCTCTTGTCCTCTCACTGCTGGTAACCATGATGGTCTAAATTAGCCCACGAGGCAGAATGAAACAGGTGGCAGCACATCAAGCAGGCTGGCAGCAATAAATGTGTCCCCACTGTGCCTATGTCCCCATCTTTGTCTAAAGTCAGCTCTTTGCACGTGCAGCCCTAAATTATTAAAACACCACTTACAAATGTGGAGCAAAGGTCAAACATTCATGGCTGTGAAATGGTCCCCATCCCTGGTGTTTCTGCCTTTTTTCTGCATGCTATCTTATTCCAAGAAGCCCACCTGGGTGGTCCCTCCAGGAGAGGTGCGTCTAGCTGTGGGGTCAGTGAGCATCCTCAGAGAATGTGGGCACATGTGTGGGCACTGCTCAGACCCCAGCTGCCACCTTTATCAGTACCACGGTGGGAGCTGGGGTGTCCATGACTCCCTCTGCAGTGGGAGCTCCCTAAAGGCAGGGGTCTCTTGTCATCCCAATACCGCAGTCAGCACAGGGTGGGGGGTAGTGGCCAACTGATATAGGCCCAGAGGCAGGCTCTGTCCATGGGGGCATGCTGCACCCTCAACTCAAGCATGGGGCTGGGGCCAGGTGCCCCTCATCCCTCCTGCCTCTGGGGAAACTGAGCAGGCTGCATGAATGCCTGGGTTTTGGTATGTGCTTGTGGGTAAGAATGTGTGTGTGTGTATTTGTATACGTTTGTTTCTTTTTTCCTCCACCTACTGCGGAAGTGCACTGATTTGACTAAGTGTCTCACTCTTTCTTGAGAGCAGTGACCAGGGTAGCGAGCCCAAATTGCCTTAGGACAGCTATAGACAGTGCGTTTGTCAGTATAACTTGGGGGGCAGAGTTCTGGGGTGTGTAGCGGGGCTCCCACCTAGTACAGTCAATCCACCCATTGAGCAGAGGACTCAGCAAGCGCAGGATGATGGGTGGAGTTGGCTGGAGATGGGTGGGAGATGGATGAACAGAGGAAGGAGGGTGCGGAACAGAGGAGACAGGATGGTAGATGGACAGGGGAGATGGGGGACGGATGGATGGAAGATGGATGGGTGGATGGACAGAGGATGGAGGATGGATAGATGGATGGACGGATAGATGGATGGATGGATGGATGGATGGATGGATGGATGGATGGATGGATGGATGGAGGATGGAGGGTAGATGATGGATGGATGGATGGATGGATGGATGGATGGATGGATGGATGGATGGATGGATGGAGGCTGGAGGCTGGGATGAAGGTGTATAGTCACTTTGTCCCCTCAGTAATTAGGATTCCTTCCAGGGCTTTGCTGTAGAAATTGGAAATCTGCCCTAAATGAGACTTGAGGATTATTTATGGGTTCTGCCCACCCTCCAAAACCAAGTAGTGAGAATCCTGAGTCTGGGTGTCTAAGGCATGCCACAGAGCCACAGCCCATCCCAGGAAGGGTCTGGAAGAGTTAAAGACTGAAAGGGATTTCAGGAACTGAGGTCACGTGGCTAGAAGTATCTCTGCTGAGGAACTGGGTGTGGGCTTCCCACCTGGCGGAGCAGAGGCCCAAGCCCCCCTGCTTCTGAATGCTGGTCGCCACCCACACGGGCACAGGAGCAACATGAGAAAGGAACAGAATTTCTCCCAAATGTCTGGGGCCCATCTCGAGCAGCTCTGGTCCCAAGGAGGGTGTGGCTGGGCAGGGCGGCCTGTGGCAGGACCACAGGGGGCTTGCAGGGACCCCGGACCACGGCATGAGGAGGCATGCACAAATCAGGAGAGCAACATACACTTACGGCGTTGTCCCCCAAGATGTCCAGCTTCTTCATCAGCTCTGTGACCTGGATGTCCTGGAGGCAAACATATGAGGGACACGTGGGAGGTGAGCACCAGGTGGACAGGGCAGGGGTGGGCACACTTGGGGCACAGTTGGGGCAGGGGGTTACCGTCACGCCTTCCGCCTCACAGTACGCTTGGAGGGGGCTCTTGCCGTCCACGAAGGGGGTGTGGTGGAAGTTGATGGCAGGTGACTTCCTCTCCCTCTCCTAGACAGAGAGCAAGGCTGGGCATGGGCCGCTGGTCCCTCCCGTCTCCTCCCTCCATGGAGGCTGTGCTGGGGACAGCCCAGGGAACACAGTAAAGCCACAGAGGCCACCAAATGTGGTCAACACAACATTTGTGTAATGAAACCTTGGCCGTAGCAGTGGCTGAAACCTCAGTGGATTTGCCCAAGAAGGTGGCCCCTGTGCAGATGAGCAAAGAAGCTGGAGCTCCCAGCCCAGGTGGGCCCTCAGGACGACTTGCTCACCCACCACGAACCCCAAAGGACTGTCAGGACACTTGGGGAGCAGTGTCCCCCGCAGACCTGGCTGGAGCAATCCCCAGGACAGTGGCTGGTGCTGCCACATCCTTATACAGGACCAGATGCAGGAGCCCGGGAGGTCAAGGGGACGGTCACACACGGGGCAGCTGCACAGTCTTCCTGCCACCCTAGGGAGGTGGAAGGGGGACCCTGAGGAGTGACTCCATCTGGACTTGATCAACCTGCTTCCTCGGTGGGCAAGTGGGGACCCCATACTCTACACCCTACACCTTGGGTGTGCAGGGATGCAGGGTTGCCAGGAAACAGGACAGTGGACATGAGGGTACAGAGAAACAAAGCAAAGATGGGTCACAGTGTTACACAATAGGGTGGTCATCCTGCCAGCTAGGGCCATGACCTCCTTGTTGCCAGGTGTTCTGAAGGTGGCCAGGACCCAAGGGGGGCCCTGGAGCTGTGTGCGGGTGGCCAGCAGGGAGGACAGCAGCCAGGGTCACTGCCTCCCTGCCTCAGAGGTGGATCACATGTCCCAGTTGCCCTGGCAGGGAGGGTGGCTGGTCACTGCATGGCACCCTCATACAAAGAGATGCATCCTTTCCAACTCGGCCTTTTGGGGTCATATGTCAGGAAGGCTGTGTGAGGGGCCTGCTCAGCCCCCATCAAACCAGCTCTGTGGGCAAGCCCACTCAGGCGCCTCTGCTCACGCCTAGCACCCGTGTCCACGGCGCACCTCCAGTTCCAGGATCCGGAATTCCAGCAGCTCGTTCTGGTCTCTCGCATCCTGGACGTCATGTTTTAACCGAGCTTCTTGTGTCTCCATTTGTTTAATCTGTAACAGAAAAGATAGACGAGACACTGGAGGTCATGAGAGGTCAACTCCCTGGCTTTCCTGACAGCTGCTGGCTGTCCATGGGGATGGCCACTTGCCTGAGAGCCTGGCCCAGAGGCCTCACTCCAGCCTGAGTCCATGTGGGTCCACCCTAGTGAGCCTGGGTGAGTCCTGCCCCTTGGCTAATTTGGGGAGGGGACTTCAGGGCCAGGTGCACCCTTGAATCCTAGGCTGGCCAGGGCTGGAGGGACATTGTCTGAACACTCAGGATGGCCACCAACTACCCAGGTCTAATCTGGCCAACGGCCTACAGCCTGCAGTCCTCTGTACCATGAGCCCCTTCTCCAACCTAGCCCTAACTCCGAGTTCTAACCATCGCCAACCACAGAACCGTCAGCACCGTGAAACATGGATGGAGAAGCTGCTACAGACTCAGGGCTCCACCCAGGCCCAGGCGCCTCCTTCCCGGCTGCCCCCGGAGGCCGGGGTGGGGTGGAGCCCACAGGAGTGAGAAGCACAGAAGGCCCTCAGGGGGGCCAGCAGCGGCTCCTGTCAAGCACTGCAGAGCCCCGCACGCTTCCTGGGCGCAGAGCAATCTTGCTTTTCCCAGGGAACCGGACAGACTCTCCGACAGGTCAGCGCACCTTCTCCACAAGCTCTTGGTTTCTCCGATATAGGGCTTGCTTCTCTTCGATCCACTTCATATCCTTGAAAATGGAATGGACATGGAGGAATAAATACACTGCTGGGTAAAAGCATAAATCCAACAGTTAAGTCACGATTCAGCGGAGCAGAGGGTTCAACAGAAGGACGCAACACCCAGCCTCTGAAGCAGCCCCCTCATGACAACTGTCACGCAGCTAATGACAACCCATGACATCACCCATTTTCTTGAAGGTCCTGGATAGAGAGCAGGAGGGGACAGCCCTGCTTCGGTCGGACCCACATGCCACCACGTGGACACGCTCACCTGCCCCTCCTCAGCCAGGGCCTTCTCTAGGTCCTCTATCTGCGTCTGCGCTCTCTGCACTTCTGCTTGGAGCTGCTCACGGGTCTGTGGGGCGGGAGGAGAGAGACATCAAATTTTCTCTAAGAGCCAGGACACGCAGGCGCGACGGAGATTTGGAGATTCGGAGGTCTGTTGACCTGCTGGTTCAGCTAGTGAAGTGGCAGTTAGCAGCTTTGCAAGGATGTTCCACAAGGAAGGAAGAACTTCAAGGCTTATTTGAAGCGAGCGACCTCACTCCATTACTGGGGTGATCTGTGATTCATTTTGAGGGGCTGTTAGGGGAAATTGTCTGTTGTAGGGTGGATGGCCAACAAGGACCCCTGGGCCTGCTGGGTGCTGGCTAGGGCTTGTTCCAGTTCCTGGATGACAGTGCCGACCACACACAGAGGGGCCTGCAAAGTGATCGCCCGCCCAGAGCCCTCACGGCGCCTTCCCTTCAGACATAGCACCCTTTGCTGGCCCTGGGTTCCCTCTTTTTCAGGACCTGTTCCTTGTTTACAAAACCAGCCCCCTAAGTGCCACCTGGGCTTCCAAGGGTCCCAGCCACCCTCCTCTGAATTAATTCCCCTTGGGGTCTGAACCATAGGGCGCTTTATGTCCTTGGGCACTCCTGCTCCCCTGGGAACACTTTCCAGGGCAAATGGATGAGAGAGCATATGGAGCCAGCTGGGCACAGGGCCTCGGGGGTCCCTCAACTCGGGGCTTCCTCTCTCCCTAAGGGGCAGCATGTGGGCACAGCATCTGAGCTCAGCGTGTGTTGGATGAATGAATAATCTCAGCAAATTTCAAAACCTGAGCTCAAATGCTGGCTCTCCCTCACCTCTGTGCCTCTGTTAGGGGACAACTCCCTAAAAGCACTGCAAAGCAAAAGCGCTCCCTAGAGGTTCATCAGCACCCCTGAGCCCAGCGCTGCTCTGGCAGGTCCCAGCCCAGCCAGGTGGACTGTGGGAGAGAAGGACCCCGGGCAGGAAGGTAAGGCGATGCCTATGTCCCTGCCGTGGCCAGGGTCAAGCGGGGAGGTGCCCACTGGAGTGGAAGTCAGTTAGACCTTAACTTCTCGCTCTGCGTCCAGCGTCCCTCCGACCTGCTCCTGCAGCAGGGCATACGCGCGCTGCAGGGCCTGGTACTCCATGGTCAGCTGCCGGAAGCGCAGCTCCGTCTCCTCCTTGGCCATGCCCTGGAGAAGCACACAGACAGCATTAGTGCTGGGCCTCTACCTGGTGCCCCAGGGAGGTGAGTCTGGGCCCCTGGGGTGGAAACAGAGTGGGTAGCTGAGGCCAGGGCCCAGCTGGGCTTCCACTGGCCCGCCAGCTCTGACCTTGCCCCTGCCAGCCCTGTTACCTCCTCCAGGTCATCTTCTGGGGTGCACGGGGTTTGGTCTGTCCTGTCGGTTTGATAGGATATGGAAGAGCCATCAGATTCCAGGGAAGCCTCTTCATCGTATCCAAAGAAGGTCTCCACTACAACCGGCTTTGGACAAAGGTAGTGTTAGTCCAAACCCAGCCAGGCTGAGTTACCAGTCCTCATGGGTCTCTGAGCCACTCCCACCAGCTCCTCAGCTGCCCAGCTGTAGGCCAGCTGCACAGCCGCACCCCAGGCTCCATATCGGCTTCCCAACCTCAGGGCAAGGGGGTCGCCATGTGGTCCTTCTGGAAGCGGGGCTGGCAAAGGGCAGAGTGCAGAGGGCTAGAGGTGTGCAGAGAGGTGGTCCACCTCTGTGGTGGGGATTGAGCACGGCCATGGGAACCAGCTCTGCAAGTCCCAGGACAGCGGCACTCGATGCCACTGTGCAGGTGACATGACACAGGAGACTAACAGTGAGCACTGGCCCAGCTTTCAGCCCATGGCCACTTGCCTAGTAATTCATTTTTGTTGTATTTTCAAAGTATCATCCTCGGCAGATTAGAATAAAAGAAAAAACAAGAGCAAAAGCTGGTCCTTCCCCAGTTATGTGAGGGCCCTGCCTGAGGGATGCTCCACAGCTGAACTTTTACATTCGCAACCTGGTGCCCCTCCCCCGGGGCCCTGTGTTCCAGCTGATGGACAGTCCACTGGCCACCGAGGCTGGAGTGCGTGGGAGCCAATTCATCAACCAATGCCCTGTCCTCGGCCCCCAAGCCCATCCTGCTCACTGATGACTCCTGATTCCCTAGCCTGTCCCTCTTCTTGTCTCACCGAAGCACCAGCCAAAGGGCCCAGGTGGGGAGAGTGAACCTCCCCCAGCCCATCCACGTGGCTAGAACCTGCTGTCCGGCTCTCAGCCAGAGTCCCAGGCAGGCCCCTCCCCCTCCCCCTCCCCCTTCTTATTATTGTCATGAGTTCATATCTTCTCTTGGAAATCTAAAAGAAATAAGGCTGGATTTCTAACTTTTTAAAACATCTTCACCCAAGGATATTTTTTCCATTGCTTTTTAGAGAGAGTGGAAGGGAGGGGAGAGAAAGAGAGAGAGAAACATCGATGTGAGAGAGACATAATTGATTGGTTGCCTCCCACATGTGCCCTGGGACCGGAGATCTAGCCTACAATCAGAATCGAACCCGGGACCCTTCAGTCCTTGGGCTGACACTCTAACCACTGAACTGGATTTCTAAATTTAAAACTATGAACAGAATATTTATTTTGGGTCCTGCTTTGGTTATTTCACAGAAGCCATTTTTAGAAATAATAAAATCATTTTCTTTTCACTCCCAAACGAAGAGGTTCAGGCCTCTTAAGTGGCTTTTAAAAGACACGTTTCATGTGCGTCTAGACAACATCCTCACTCACCTTGGGGAGCTTGGCCATCTTCTTCCTCTGCTTCCGGAATCTCAGAAGCTTGTCGCGCTCCTGCAGAAACCAGTTGAAGAGATTCCTTTGAGTAATTGCACAGCTCTATTGGTTTCAAATGCACAAGGAACACCCTGTGTTGTCATTTGAGTGAATGCAGAGGACTTCCACTGGTGCACTGTCCACACCGTCATAAACACGCTGAGCCTCGTGGCCCTGCGCAGGGAGTGTGCAGGTGAGGACAGCTCGTCTCCACTCCCGGGCTGATGGAGTGACCACCTGTTTGGGTGCCTCAGCTCACACATTCAACGGTCCCCCAGCTTCTTTCACGGCTGTGGTCGATTGAGGGGGGGTAAGGGAGGACTTGGTGGCATGCACAGAAATGGGACTCGAGAGGATGGATGAGCCCGCCCCCTGCATCCTCTGAGCTAATGTCTACAGATGTGCAGCCCACACATGTGGACATGGACCCCATGAACGTGTAAGGAGATCAGTGACCAGCTTCTCTCCGGGGAGCTAGGCTGCATATTTGTGACCATGACTAAACCAACCAGGCCCAGACTGTGGGTCCATACTGGCAGGGCTGGGAAACCCACCGTGGGGAGAAGGGCCCCAGAGAGGGGAGCCCTCTGACCTCTGCTTGAATAAGTAACTCAATACTGAGCAGAGCTGGGTGCCACCACAGGCCNGAGAGAAAGAGAGAGAGAAACATCGATGTGAGAGAGACATAATTGATTGGTTGCCTCCCACATGTGCCCTGGGACCGGAGATCTAGCCTACAATCAGAATCGAACCCGGGACCCTTCAGTCCTTGGGCTGACACTCTAACCACTGAACTGGATTTCTAAATTTAAAACTATGAACAGAATATTTATTTTGGGTCCTGCTTTGGTTATTTCACAGAAGCCATTTTTAGAAATAATAAAATCATTTTCTTTTCACTCCCAAACGAAGAGGTTCAGGCCTCTTAAGTGGCTTTTAAAAGACACGTTTCATGTGCGTCTAGACAACATCCTCACTCACCTTGGGGAGCTTGGCCATCTTCTTCCTCTGCTTCCGGAATCTCAGAAGCTTGTCGCGCTCCTGCAGAAACCAGTTGAAGAGATTCCTTTGAGTAATTGCACAGCTCTATTGGTTTCAAATGCACAAGGAACACCCTGTGTTGTCATTTGAGTGAATGCAGAGGACTTCCACTGGTGCACTGTCCACACCGTCATAAACACGCTGAGCCTCGTGGCCCTGCGCAGGGAGTGTGCAGGTGAGGACAGCTCGTCTCCACTCCCGGGCTGATGGAGTGACCACCTGTTTGGGTGCCTCAGCTCACACATTCAACGGTCCCCCAGCTTCTTTCACGGCTGTGGTCGATTGAGGGGGGGTAAGGGAGGACTTGGTGGCATGCACAGAAATGGGACTCGAGAGGATGGATGAGCCCGCCCCCTGCATCCTCTGAGCTAATGTCTACAGATGTGCAGCCCACACATGTGGACATGGACCCCATGAACGTGTAAGGAGATCAGTGACCAGCTTCTCTCCGGGGAGCTAGGCTGCATATTTGTGACCATGACTAAACCAACCAGGCCCAGACTGTGGGTCCATACTGGCAGGGCTGGGAAACCCACCGTGGGGAGAAGGGCCCCAGAGAGGGGAGCCCTCTGACCTCTGCTTGAATAAGTAACTCAATACTGAGCAGAGCTGGGTGCCACCACAGGCCAAGAGGGCACGTGTGACCCCCATGATGGATGGACATTCTCAGTCACCAAGGCAAAGCCTCGGGGCAGGTAGCACTGTGGCCACAAAATCTACCCGGATGCTGGCACGGCCACTTCTGTCTGGCCTAGAAGGAGACATGGGCACAGGTGGGGTCCCAGGGACAAGCTAGTAGAAAGGGTGTGAGGACAGACCTGAGTGGTACTTACTAACACGCTCTTCACATAGCCAGCGGTTTCCAGGGTCTAGAAGAGAGGGCAGCAGTCTGGAGAATCAGAGAGCAGGCCTGCCCCCAAAGCCCTGTGCCCCCCAAACCTCTGCCGCTTCCTGACTGCAGCATTGCCTGGGTCCCTCTGCCCTGGAAGGGTCGGTCTTACTCCACCCTAATGGTTGGTCCTCTCTCCCTCAGCTGATCCCCCCAGGGCCCCATGACCCCATGACCCTCGGAAGCAGCCAGGGCCCTCTGTTCAGGGCAAACTGGCCTTTTGAAACTGGAATAACATGCACTTGTATTGATTCTTCCCTTTCCTGTCCCCCTGTAAGTCCTTATAACTGTGGGATTGACAATCACTGGGTCACTGAGCAAGATAAGAGCTCCAGTCTCAGGGACAGTCAGGGAGGGCTGCATGGGCGAGGTCCCATCCCACAGCCCGCAGGAGCAGGCAGCTCTCTGTCCCATCTCCTGTAATTTTGGAGGCGATGTTACATATGGAAACAAGGCAGGCCAGCACTTCTGGCCACATGCCACACCAGCGACAGAGAGGGACGCTGTTGTCCCTCCTGCTTCTGAGGACACAGAATGACCAAGGCAGCTCGTCCTGAAAGGACCTGACCATGGAGTCAGTTGGGGTCCCAACAATAAGCAGAACACCCCCCAAATCAGGGTAATTGGAGAAGAGTTTCATGAAGGGGTGTCAGGGCCACAGGAACAGGGCAGTATAGACCGTCAGGTGGGGTCCCCAAAAAGATGTGTCCACATCCTAGTCCCCAGAATCTGGGACTGTGACCTTCTATGGAAATAGGGTCTTTGCAGATGGGACTAAGTTAGGGGTCTTGAGATGAGGCCATTCTTGACTTAGGGTGGGCAAATGTCCTTATAAGAGGAGAGACACAGAGAGAAGGCCCATGAAGACAGGCAGATACTGGAGTGACAGGGCCAAGGGGCCACCAGAAGCTTCCTCCCCTCACACTTCAGAGGAACCACGGCCCTGCCAGCACTTTGATTTTGGGCTCTGGCCTCCAGAACTGGGAGGGAGTAAGAGACTTGTTTTAAGCTCCTGGTTGTGGTCACTGTGGCCCAGAGCCTAACACTGGTGATGGTGTGGCTCCTGAAACCCCTGGTCCAAAAAGATGAGAAGAAACAAGAAAGGCCACCTCCAATGTGACCATGGGGCAGGGGCCCAGCTCAAGATGAACCCAGGGAGGAGTCAGGAAGACAGACAACCCCCAGATCCTGTGGGGCGCCTCTGGGGCAGACCCTCAGGGGCGATGGGCAAGGGGTGTAACCTCTGGGGGGCAGCAGGGAGGGGAAAGGAGCTGGATGACCCTGTGGTGACGCCCGGCGCCTGGTCACCTTGGAAAGCTCGTCTATGAGGTTCTGCTGCTCCACGATTTGGAGTTTCAAGAAGTCAATTTCTCTTTCATCTTGACTCTGATCCAGGTCGTTTAAGGAACTGGGTCTCCTTATGATCCCGGCTCTCTGTCTCTGAAAAACCAACCAGACCATGTCACAAGGGCAGAGAGGGGTGGTCCTACTGGTGATGGGAAGTCAGGGTCTTCCTGCTCTCTGCTCAGGCCTTGGAGCAGCCTGGCTGCAGAGCCCAGGGAAACCAAGGCTGAGTCTTGGATGATTCCCAAAGAGGGAGAGGGGCTGTGAAGCCTGGCTCAGTGCCCATGGGGACACTTTGTTCCCCAAGATGAGATCATGTGAACTGTCCATGCCAGTTCACACCCCACCATAGTTCTGCAGAGGGGCGTATGGAGGCACTCCTCCCCCTTCCCCCACATCGCTGAGTTACTCTTTGGATAAACTCTTACTCACGGCCTCTGGATCCCTCAGGGCCAGAAGGAACAACCAAGACACCAGGCAATCACCTCCCATCCGCTTAGTGGCAGCAGCAGGAGTGGAGTCCCCCTTGGCCCCCTGGTCTGTGCCCCGTGCCCAGCCTGTTTGTTCCTTTCTCTCTCACACCCAGTGTCCTGGGCTCCCACCATCTCTGCATCAGGTGCTCAGAGTTGGAAGGTGGCCTGGGGGTGGGGGATGTGATCTCTCAGTGTCTTCCCTGCTTACTCCCTGTCACTCCCAGGCAGGTGACACCTTGCCCTCAAGCACCCAGACTCTTATCTAAAGCCCTGGTAGTTTCTGTCCTCAAGTGAGGACAAAAGCTGAAGCCAGAGCCAGAGGGCCCCGTATTTTGTCAAATCATGTGGCAGGAAGCAGGAGAGGTTGTCATGGTTACCCTCCTGCTGGCTGATAGACACCTCAGGGTCCCTTACCATTTCCATGTTCTCCTGTGTGACGAATTTTAACTTGTTTTCTATTCGACGTAGCGTGTGAGACAGACTCTCATTTTTCCGAGAGAGGCGTTTGTTTTTATCCAGCAGTGGCTTGTATTGACTTTCAGCTTCTCTTAAACGCTTTAGCTGAAAGACAAAATTAATTCTGAGCGTGTTTTTTTTTTTTTCAGTTGTGACAGAGAACCAGCAGGTCACCCTACAGAATACGGAATCCGCAAACTGAGCAGAACAAGCTTGGGAGGCAGTGAAGGGTCAGAGTTGCATTGGGAAAGAGCTGTGGTACCAGGACCCCTCAGGACGCATTGAGAAGCTCTCACCCCGGGGGGACAAGCCACTCAGAAATCTCAGTCTACATGAAAAGCGGGTGGGAAGAAAAGGACTGATGGTGACAGTGCTACCGAAGGATGAGGTCCTCACACTTCCCAGAAAATGTGCAGAACTGGGGATACTTTTGCCCAACAATATGGAGCAGGGGTCAGGCAACCAGCGTCTAAGGCCCACATCTGGCCCTCAACATGGTTTTGTTAACAAAGTTTTATTGGAAACAGCCAAGAGGGCTGGACACAAGCCCCATCCTTATCACCATCACTCCTTTCCATGAGGAAGCTTGGAAATGGACTGACAGCCAGCTCCCCCCGAGCTGCAGCCCTAAGCGCACGGGACCAGCCCTGCTGCGGCCTTGCCGCGCTCACCAGCTCGTTCCTCTCTTCCGACAGCAAGGCGTTCCGGTCCTCGAGTTTCCGAATGATGGCGCTCAGCTCTGCAATTTTAAGTTGGAAGCGCCGAGCATCCTTTTCATCCAACTGCTGTTCCTAAAACAGAAATCAACTGCAAATAACCGTTCGTAGATGCAGGTGGAGAAACTTTTGCAAATCTCAACACACGGCAACAACCAGAGCACTTCCAAGTCATGATGGCCCGAGACTCCTGATTGGTGGTGGGTGAGGGGACCCTCCTAGGGGCTGGAGCACCGTGGCGGCAAACTGCGAGATGGGACAGAATGCAGGAGCAGAAATGTCCAGAAAATGCAAATGTGGAGGGCGAGAGCAAGCAAGTGCAGGCACCCCGACCCACAGTGAACCCAGAAAGCACTGGCCCAGCCCCATGCACTCCTCAGGCACTGCCGTCTGCACCTCAGGAGGGGTCTGCCCTGCGGTGCAGGCGGGAAGTCACTCTGCTGGTATTATAATGTGAGCACAGGGACCGACATTTGACTTAAGACTCTTGAAAGCTGGTTTCCCATGATTATGTTTCCAAAAGGTCACTTTGGAATCACTGAAACTTTGGGCAAAAATCTGTGACATTTTAATCCAGTGTGAGAGTCTCTGGGGTTCGCACAATCTATTGGATATAGTGCCAGGGCAGGCGCTGTCTAACTCAGTTCAGCCATGTCTAATAGGATTATCAAATGTCACTTTCTATCCTGGAAATGTCACTATCTTAGGGCTGGCTCAGCTCACACACGGTTTTGTCCTAAAGCAAACCCGTGTCCAAAAGGACGGAGGAATGATTCCTCATTCAGCAGGTGCAGGAGAGGCTAGGGGCCGACCCAGATGGACCACATGGGGGGTCCGTGGAATTTAGACCCCCACCCCGACTTCCCAGGACCACCCAGAGGGCTCTGAATGAGGAGTGGCAATGAGGAGATGATGGTGTCACGGCCAGGCAGCTGTTGGCCCTGTGCCATCCTGGCGGGCCAGGGAGGAGCAGAAGGGTGTCATGGTTACATGGAAAGCAGGTGGGAAGGCAATGGGTGATGTGAGTGGTGGAAATCACTACACAAGGGCCAAGTTCAGGATGAGGGGAGCAGGGAGCTGGCCTTCCCAGCAGAAGGCAAAGCTGTGCTTGGAGAGGGAAGGAGCTCAGCTGCATAGCCCACCAGCCCGGGGCAAGGCCAGCACCAGTCAGTACCAGGGACCCTTAACCTGGGGGCCCAGTGGCTCAGGTGGGCTCAGTGGGAAGCCCAAAGCCTCGGGGGTCCACGGCAGGGGTACCACGTGAAGGCAGGGCTATACACTACATTGGCAAGGAAGGAGGGCTAAGTCTATCTGCCCTCTCAGCTGAGCCAGAAAGCTGAGGGGCCCAGGGTCTGGCTGACAGGCTACAGGCACGGTTGGCGTCCCAAGTGTGGGAAGGCGAGGGCGAGGGCTCTGGCTCTGGACATGGACTCTGGCTCCCAGGGCAGCTTCCTCACAGGGACACACAGCCGCAGGCGTGTGCGGCGGGTCTCTGGGGCTCTGGGTGGGCGGGCGAGGCGGGGAGGTGCTTACAGGGCTTCCTGAGTGGTCTGAGGCGTCTCCTGCACCGCTTGCATAAGGAAGTTCCCGTCTGGGGCTGCCCAGGTGCCGATCAGCCTCTTTGACCTGGGACAGCTGCTCATCTAGAGCCTCTTTTTGGAGCTGCAGTCTCTGAGCATGCCCGGCTTGAACCCCTAACTCTCTCTCCAGCACGAAGACTGCTCTGTCCTTAAATTTTATCTCCTCCATCTACAAGGAGAACAGAACACAATCACACAGGCAGGCAGGGTGCAGATCTGTTACCATAGCAACAGGCGGAATGCACAAGCATCAGGAGGGGTCCCCCCCCACGCGGCAGCCCTCCCCCCTCCCTAAATTGCAGAGATCAACCTCCTAACAGCTGCGAGAAGCCACCTGCCTCCCAGCCCCTCTTCCAGGCTGCCAAAGGTGCATCCGAGGCCAAAGGTGGGCCTCCCTCGGAGGGGAGGGCAGAACCAACCCCACCACTGCCTGCTCTTCAGACACACAGACGTGGGTGCCATGGGCATCATTACAAATGGAGCTTCATTTTGCAAGAAGACTCAGTTTAAAATGCATTTCCAGACATGAGCAGGATAGGATGTCTCGTTGCTTTGCGTGATGTTTAAGGTTACAATAAGCTAATAAATCAGCCATCTGCTGAAGTCAGCTTTTGAAACAAAGAGATGAGGTGTCTAATTAGCCCAGATCATAGAATTCATGGGCAAGTGGTGAACTGAACAGAAAAAAAAGGAAATCCTTAATTGCTAAATTCCCATTTACTGGAACTCATAGACATGCAGAGGCAACACAGTCAATTAGTGAAAACAGAGAGGCCAGTGAACAGAAAATCAGATTAATGCGCAGCTATATCCTGTGGCCTGACATTCCCACTCTCACACAGAGACTTTAGAAACATCATTCTTTCATCAGGAAACAAGAAAATCAGTCTGCTCACACATCCCACTTAAATCACCTACTTCAGAGGATGGGTTGGACCAGAAGCTGACCTCCCTGAGTCGCATAATGCAGCCAAGTTAGATGGTCATCCAGCTGGGGGGTGTTGTGATCTTCCCACAAAGGAAAGGGCAGGATTGATTTTTTAATGATGGGAAACTCACTTTAAGGTCAGTGAGTGTCATCCAACCAGCATGGCTCAGTGGTTGAATGTCGACCTATGAATCAGGAGGTCACGCTTCGATTCCGGGTCAGGACACATGCTCGGGTTTCGGGCTTGATCCCCAGTAGGGGCGTTCAGGAGGCAGCGACTCTCTCTCTCATCACTGATGTTTCTATCTCTCTCCCTCTCCCTTCCTCTCTCTGAAACCAATAAAAACATATTTTTAAGAAAAGATCAATGAATGTCTCCCAGGGTGTCATCCTAAAGCCCAGGGTCTCCAGCATGCAGCATCTCCATGATGAAGATCACCAACGAAAGGAGGATGTCCATAACCAGATCTTGAAGGTGTGTAACTCTCCCAACAGTACTTCTGCTGGCATAGCCATTCGGGAGGGCTTCTTGGAAGAGGAGTAGGGTACTCCATGACTTCTCATTGCTCCGGCAGGACACTGTCAGTGTGCACTGATTGAAATGCTTGAAGGCCCTTGGTTCTCACTGTGCCCGGTCATAAGGGGTTTCGATCTGTAGCCTGTAACATTGCCACAAAGCCAGACTGTTATCCGGTCCTTAAAGGCCTTGAAACCCGGCCTGGGCCTGGCCTCCTTATGGAAGAGAGTCCTCTCAGACATCCATTTCCAGAATAGGGAGGCTTCATCTATATCGAATATTTGCTCTGGAAAGTAATTTTCCTCCACAGTCAGCTTATCTAGAGTTTCCAAAACTTCCTCAGCTGCCTTCACGTCAGCACTCACAGACTCCTCACTCGCTTTCACGTTATGGCATGAACAACAGTTCTTGAGTGGTTTCAGCCACCCAGAGCTGGCAGTAATTCAACACTGTAGTTGGATCCAGCCTGTTCTTTCTTTTTTTAAAAATATATCTTTATTGATTTCAGAGAGAGGAAAGGAAAGGGAGAGATAGAAACATCAATGATGAGAGAACCATTGATCAGCTGCAGCCTGCAACCGGGGCACATGCCCTGACTGGGAATCGAACCCTGATTGCCTGGATCCTAAGGTCAACGCTCAACCGCTGAGCCACGCCCGGCTGGGCCAGCCTATTTTTTCAACGTCACAAACTTTTTGCTTTGGCCTCAGTTGTCGTGGTGCTGAGAGGGATACGTGTTTGTGTCTGGTCTTCAATCCAGGTCACTCGAAGGCTCTTCATGTCTGATGCAGGCCCTTCTCGAATCTTTGTTAGTCTCCTTGCCCTCAATGAAGCAGATCCCTCAACAGCCTCCAATACTTCGCTCTTGTTTAGGATCGTAGCTGTGGTGGAGTGGGCCACGCCTGACTGGTGAGCAATAACCACCACCGATTTTCCGCCTTCCTGTCCTTAATCATTTTCATTTCATTTCCAGGCTTCCATCCCCCTTCTCGCTGCCACAAACTTCCTGCCCCAGCCCTTCACCCCCAGTTACAGAAGGTTTATGGAAGTGGGAGGGAAGTCCTTTGGAGACGGGTCCCTAGGGAGAGGTGTGTGGAAGATGCTGGGCCGGGAGGATCACCCTGACAGAGGGGAGAAGGTGTCCTCTGCACATCTTGACTCACCCCCAGCACAGAGTGTGCTCAGCTCAGAGGCACAGACCAGAGCCTCTGGCTGGAGCCTGGGAAGCTGCATTTACAAACATCCCCGGTCACAAAGCACATGGACATGGTGGACCCACTGCCCCACAGTGCTGAATCACCACCACCCCTGGCCACACGGGCACCATCACCACGTGAGTGTGGCATCGCAGAGCTGTGGCAGCTCCCACCTGGGGACCCCAAGCAGGAAACCTGTGCACAGCAGCTCCTTGGGGGTGGGGCCTCAGCTCGGCTCTCCCTCACCTTGCACGGTGCAGGTGTGCACACCTGCTCCAGCAGATAAACAAGAAAGGGTCTGGT